CAAAAATTGACTGATACAACCAATTAAAAATGCTATGCCATATTTTACCATCTAATTTGCTGCAGCAGCCAATCTTTTTTTTCAGTGTAGCTAGAATAAATTCTTGCTACCGTATTGGCTATGATGCTGACACTGTTAGTACCGTAGCCAATGGCAACAAAACGATGGCAAGATTCTAATCCAATGGCAAGAATCCAGCTAAGAATCCAGCAGAAAAACAAGCATCGTATGCCGCAGGCTTTAGAGCAACAAATTGACCAGTTGAATGTAAGAAGAATAATCGACTGTGATTGGTCAATTTCGTACTCTAAGGCTCTGCGCACAATAGAGGAAATATTAGGAATAGGAATAGATATTAAGATTTTAACCTATCAGGTACCAGTTACACCGGAATACACGGTTTCTGATAGGTTGAAATCTTAATATCTATTCCTGTTCCTAATATTTCCTCCATTGTGCGCAGGGCCTTACAGCCTCATCCATTACTGATTGTAAGATATTTAGATATAAATAGCTGTGATCTGTTACCGAAACCCTTTGGGTGACATCTGGTCCGTAGGACTATAATGCGGGGTCTACAATAGAAGTCGTAGCAGTCGTAGGGTCTTAAGTCGTAGAAAATTGACCAATCACAGTCGAATATGAGAAGAATAATCAACTGTGATTGGTCAATTTTCTATGACTTAAGACCCTACGATCGCTACGACTTCTATTGTAGACCCATAACTATATTTATTGAACCTAGTTTTAGCAATCGAAATTGACGGCGCTCGACCGCATAGCGGAACTGTCAAAAACTGGAGCACGAGCGGAGAACTCACGGTTTGTCGCAGAACGCGAATTTACACTGAAAAAAAAGATTGGCTGCTACAGCAAATTAGATGGTAAAATATGGCATAGCATTTTTAATTGGTTGCTGCAGTCAATTAAAAATGCTACGCCATATTTTACCATCTAATTTGCTGCAGCAGCCAATCTTTTTTTTCAGTGCAGTAACATAGGCTGCATTCAGCAGAACGTTTGTTTTGCAACTGTTGGAAGTTTCCTTCGCGCTAATTGGATCATACTTTTAGATCTAGAAGAATGGTCCTATCTCAGCAGACAATCATAAAACGGTTGCAAAACTGTTGAGTCTGCTGAACGCAGCCATAGTATTCGAAGCCCATCGTCGCTTTTGTAGATTACGAGTAAAAATGTATTGTTGGAGAAATTATTCAAATAAAAGTTTGTTTAAAATCAAAGGATAAAGAAGAGATACGTGAATTACGTTTAGCTTTTTCCTTTTTGTAATTTTCCTCTGTTAAATATCTTACATGATACTGCCATTGTAGACCACGCATACATTTCCTTACTGCTTACGTGTTACAGCCTTATGTTTTTGTATGTGTCATGGGCTTAAGACTTATCATGAGCTTAGGTTAAATTTTCGAGTTTAAAAAAAAGGTTAACTTACCCAATCCTGGTATTCAAAGATTCTATAATTGCTAGTGATTATAGAGACTTTGGAATATATATTTACATACTAGTAATTATGTTTGGTAAAAACAGGCTGAAAATTTGCGTAAAAAAATATAACTTCGGAATTCCATTTTTATGCAGACGCGTATCATAAGACAAAATTCGTTAAATTAACTTGTTTGAACATACACTTTTTCAGAGGACAGTAGTGCGCGGGAGCAGTTTGCGGTTAGAAGAAAAAGGCTCTCATATCCTCTCTCAGGTTTCTCTCTGACTGTACACTGCGTACGCAGTATATACTGTGTACAACCAGCCAGCCTAGCACTCTGTGTATTTTACGTGCAGTCGGAGCAGTTCAGCAGTTGAAAAATCGTTGAAGTTATCAGAAGTACATATTCGGACAGGAGGTTACAGAGATGTACTGCTTAACTTGGTCGTGTCTCTCAGGAAATATTTACCGATAGACGATAACTAAAGATTGAAAATACATGCACGTGTCTTTCTAGACCCTCGAAAAATCGCAAATTTATGTGGGGAACATGTTCAGCAAAGAGGTTGTCGGAATACTCTCTGTTCCACACGTGCTTCTGATTCATTCTGATTCCCCACCGGTACCGCACCATCCAATCGGAGCGCGGTAGGGCATCTGATTTCCATGACAACCACGCTTGTTAACCCCCACTAACGAACTGGTGCATATGGCACTTGTTTATATCCGGCGCGTGTGTAGGAGGGATTATTCTCGATTATCGCTGATTATTCGGATAACTTCCTCGGTTAACATGTTCCTCGTATAACTTGGCGATTTGTCGAAGGTCTAGAAAGACGCATATATGCCTGTATTCCCAATTCTAGATTATCGTCTGTTAGTAAATATTATGAAAGAAAAAAAAAAATTGGAAAAAATGAACGCTTGTACCCGCTGCAGCATCTTCAACTTCCTATTCTGATATATAATTCCTAATAATAATAACTAAGTCTTTTCGAATGATTAACCTTCGTGGACTGACGTGGGTCTTGCAAGAAATAATCAAAATTTCAAGATGTATCGTTGCAATAGATTTTGCTACATAAAAAAATATATCAGAGTTTAAAAATGTTTAGAATATGTAGAGAGTAGAGATGTAACACAATAAAAACATTTTTTTCTAATATTTCACAACTAATTTATCAGGAAAAATGTAGTACTAACGTAAATGATCCACGGATGTTAGTGAAAAACAGCGATTCGACGTATAGTAGTTTGGAGGATTAACGACAAAATACATATAAATTGTACGCACGTCGTATTATACATACATGA